CCCACCTCCCTCCCTCCCTCCGGCTTTGGGTATAATGCATACATGTTTGCTTACATGGTTATAATGAATACAGACACTTCATTAGTACCCACAAGTGATGTTCGCTAACATATTTTCAGCAAAAAAGATGGCTTTTTCTCGTTGCCTGGGCGGGTTTGAGTTTCAGGTAGAATACTAGACCGACAAAAAAGGACTAATTTAAGTACATGACGTTGATATGATAGTGTTTTAGTTTCACTTTTATTTAAAACTTATATTTTACCCAACATATCATATCATTTGGATGTTGTTTTGTGTATGATTTTTTTCAGTCTAGTATTACCCTTGAGTTTAATCTAAAACTAGAACATGAACTTCTCTCTGTCTTTTTTCATTTTATTTTGGTTTTTTTTGTTGTGTTTTTTGTTTTTAAGTTTTCTATTATACGTTCCTAGTACAAGTAGAATGACGACGTGTAGCAACTAGGATTGCTGATGAATCGAGTTTAAATTGAAACTCATCTAAGATTGTTCATTCATTAAAGATGTGTACGAAGGATTAATTCTAAAACTCATATAATAAACTAGTCAAGACCGCGTAATGGCTCATCCGACTTGTTTTAGAATTGGTAACTTGTGTGTGTGTGTGTATGAGGAGGGAAGGGATGTGTTAGTAGAAACGAGCTGAGTTAATTTGATCTTGAACACGTGTTTGAGCTAGGGATTAAGCGTGAACACAAGCCCAAGCTCCGTTTATAATTAGACCAATCGATTCCAAATGCAGAAACAAATTACAAACAAAGCAAGAATAAAATCTTTGCTGCTCAACATGATCCCCAATCCTTTTTTTTTTTTGCAAATGAACAATTCCAACCCCAATAATTTAGTGATCGGCTTGGTTCTTTCTGTTCGCTTGCACCTCTGGTAACATCTGTGTGCCTTGTTGGTGGACCACCCAAACAATACTTTTTAAAAATATGTATATATATTTCCTAATACGCATATTTAACTTTATATTGTTGTTACCAAAATGAAAAGTTCTTGCTTCTTTCTTCAATTTCATACTGTTTTGCAGAATATTTATTAATGAATAGGGCTATTTTCTTTCCATAGACGGAAGAAAAACAAACTGCATTTATAACAAAGTCATACTTTAATCTTGCCTCTGCATTTTCCATATTCATTTGCCTTTATCTTCTTACCACTCTTAAACCATTACACAATTGAATCCCCAATGTTGGTGTCTAGATTTTCATTTCAAACTTTAAGGAAAAAGTACACAATTATCTCATGTATTGAACATCATCACTGTTAATCCCAAAATCTGTTCATCGTGACGGATGGCTAAAATGATAATCTGGCCGTCAGCAGGAGATGTCCTGCAAAACAAGTCAAAAATCAGAGAAACTTTGACGGTCAACCCCCCGATGGTAAAATTAGAAAGAGTGATGGGATGAAGCTATATTTAGCTCGGAATGGATTGACCTAGATGATGCATGACTTGACCTTTTTATAGGTTATGGAATTGTACCATTGGAAGATCTTCAACAATTATTTGAATGAAGCGACATTGGAAGTAGAACAGAAGCTAACGCCTGTTAGTGTGGATATCTCAACTGGTATGAATCAGTCAAGACGAGCCAAGCTGCCGAGCTAAAAGGCTGGTGAGCAGGGAGGTCCCTGCTGGTGCTCGCCTTACCAAGATGCAAAAGCTTACATGTTGAGCTTATGCCCACGTGCTACGCTCATGCCAATTTTACCATTGTCAATAACCAACCCTCAAGTGCTTGGCCTTATTCCCCTGAATTTTGCTTTATGACATTCAGATATGTAACCTAAAATAATTAAGTAACAAAAATATATTTTCCAATTTAAAGAATTGTGGTTTCTATTGGCACTCAGAAGTGACTAGAAGCACTTGATCATGAGGTCATTTGTAAGGCTCTTAATCCAATTGAGCTTTACCAAATTGAATTCGAGTTTGTCGAGTTCAATTTTTTAAATAAATTAAAAAAATTACTAAAGTTCGATTTGTTTAAAAAATGAGTTGAGTCCGCCGAGTTTTTTAGGCTTATTTTTCTAAACGAATCTAAAAAATTGTTTAAATTGAGTTCGTTTAAAATATGAGTCAATTTCGAACTGAGTTTTATCTGAACTGAGCGCAAGTAGCTCGATTCAATTAATAGCCCTAGTCACTTTTAGAAGAAATTACGAAATTACGAAACTTTGAATATNGGAGATGTTCTATGTAAGTGTCTTTTAGCTGATACTCTTTATACAAGATCTCAATTTCACCATTTCAACAAAGTCAATTCAAGATACAGTTGTTAGACAATCCGAGTAACTTGATCTTAGTTCTGGCTCGATTCAATTTGGACTCATCCAAACTTGTTCAAATTGCAACGTAAACTGAACTTGTAAACAACTAGAATCTTAGTAATGTGTGCCTTAGCTCGTGGTAGTTTGGTTTGTCTTAAAAAAAATCTCCGTTGTTTCCAAATAACCGCATATGAAAGATGAAAACTCGAACACTTAAATTTTGGAGATTTTTACTGCACACGATAGATTAATTTAGAATTGATCATTACATTTAAAGGTTTCGATTTAGAGTATATTTATTGAGAAATGAGGTCTCTTTCGGTTCAATCTGTCTTGAATGCTCTTAAGCTTTTGCCGAGTTGGGCTTGAACAAGAATGCAAATTCAATAGTTGAGCATGACTAGTCCCAATTGAGAAGAGCTTCTGTACGATTAACACACCTTATAATCAGGATAAAATATTTAAAATCTGAATGATAAGAGGAATTGAAACGTTTTTACTCTTTTAGAGGGCACGATCAAGTTAGGGAATCACCCTCAAAATGTTGGAAAAAATTCTCTCATATTTTTCCTTTGGTCACGACTAAATTCTTGGATCCCCCAAATTAGACGACGATATTTTCCAATTTTTCATTTAGTCATGGATCTAGAGGGCGCAAGTGGGGGAATCGCCCCCGAAAGTTGGGAAAATTCTCTCATACTTTTCCTCTGGCCACCACTAAATTCTTGGATCCGTCCTTTCATTTCTTTTTTCTTTTTTTTTTTTCCATTGTCTTTATTGCAGTATTCCAATACTCTTCATACAACACTGTGGATGACGTAACAAAAGAAAGTTACCAGGGGTGCAATACAACCAATGCAATACAATCAAGCAATAATGGGAACACTACATATACCTTGTCATCTCCTGGAGACAGATACTTTATTGCTGGTAACAAACTATACTGCCTTGGAGGAATGAAGCTTCATGTAACTGTGGAAGCAGATCAAGTGGCATCGCCGGCCAGTGCGCCTGAGCCCGGGGATTCTCTTCCTACTCCTACTTCCGAGAACAACAACCCTTCTATTTTTAGTTCAGCTGTGGCTATCCATGGTGGAACCTATTCTATTCTCTTTGTGTTTCTTGGTTTCATGGTTGCTATACCTTGGGTGATGTAGATTTGACATTTCTATTTGTAATCCCAATTCTTCTTTATAAAGTTCGTTTTGAAAGTTTTAATGAGTACTTGAATCCGCCAATAGTTACACCTGTCAATGGATCAAAAGACGAAGCCCGATTGAAATTTCTATAGAAACATCCAATGTATTTCATATTCACAATTAAACGGTATTAAAGAATCACTCAATTTCCTCGTCGTAGATGAACGTTCCGATTGGAGTGCCATCAAAGCAAATATTATTATATTCAAATTCGAATATGTTGAATGTGATATTACATATTCAAATTTTATCAATCTATGAATCATACAAGGCACTCTAATTCATTAAGAACAGAAAAACGTAGATTAAAATTTGAATACCAATCTATAATTATCAATCTATAATTATACATGACACTATGAATCATATAAAATTCTGTCAAGGATTTGATACTCTATAGAGAGTGAAAATACTCAGGGGCACCTCCCTTAAATTTAACTCTTGCGTGTGGAGTGATGGCTTGGTATGTGGGTCCAGATTGACTATTGGGTGCGAGTTCAAATAAATTTAATTAGTGGAGGTCCTGAATTATCAAAAAAAATAAAAAAATCTAATCAAATCAAACTAAGTGTTATATGCCAATCATTTGGGATTGGCTATATAAGTTTATTTTTACCATTCATTTCAATCATGCATTATACGCTAATTTAAGTTAAATATTTTCATATATTTTTTTATTATTTTTATTCAATGTTAACTTAGATTTACCCATATTTCTAGTACCATTAAGAGAAATTATTTCACTTTTTCGAACCGGTGTCTCTATCGGTCTCTATTGAACATGACTAAACAATTTTAATCTATTTTCTCTTAATTAATCCTCAATTGAAGCTATTCCTATCATTTATCTAATATGATCATTTTTTATTCTATCATTTCTAGTTTTTTCATACATCTATTTTAGCATTCTCATTTTCGCTATACTCATTTTGTCACTCTGTTGTTTCCTAGTTATCCAACATTTTATCTCATACAATATTATTATCCTTATAGTTATTCGATAAAACTTATCTTTCAATTTAATTGATATTCTTCTGTTACATAGTATGCCAGAGGTTTTCCTTCACTTGAGTCAATTGACATTGATTCTATGAGTTATATCATCTTCAATCTTTTCATCATTTTTAATGATAGATCTTAGATATCTAATTTATTTATTTGTTGATATTTCTTGATTTTCAATCTTAATTTTTTCATTATATTTATTTCTTTTATTACTAAAATTGCATTGCATATAATTAGTCTCATTCCTACTTATTTTAAACCCTTTTGACTCGAGTATCTCTCTCCAAAATTTTTAACTTATTGTTACTCCCCTTTCGAATTTCATCTACTAATATAATATTATCTACAAATAACATATATCAAGGGACATCATCTTAAATGTGTCTAGTGAGTTAATCCATAATGAGGGCAAATAGATATGAACTTAGAGCTGATCCTTAGTGTAATCTCATCGTAATTAGAAATTCTTTACTTTCTCTCATGAAAAACTTAATTGTAATCATAGTCCCGTCATACATGTCATTTAACATCTCAATATACTTATTTGTCGCACATTTCTCTCAAGCACCATTCATATTGTATTCTTAGGTACTTTTTGATAAGTCTTTTTTAGATCTATAAATACCATATGAAATTTATTTTTTTCTCTTTATACTTTTTTACGAGTGTTTTCAATAAATATATAATCTCTATAGTTAATTTATCCGACATAAATTCAAACTGACTTTTAAATTTAACCTAATTAATCATAATTATTAAATTAATAAACGTCCACAATAAATTAACACATAATAAGGTACAAATACCATTGCTCATAACAACGGTCGCCAAAGCCCTCCTCTTGGTTAAGAGTGTGCTTGGGATGATTTATGAAGTCCAAAAAGTATTTTTTTAATAAATGTTTGTCAAAAGTGTTTATAAGAAAAATACTTTTATTAAATAACTATTATTTAGATACTCAAAATTTAAAATACTTAAATTAATGTATTTTATAAAAAACACGTTTGAATGTGAAAACACTTATTTGTGTCCCAATTGTTAATAGCATTGAATGCACATGTACAAACGTATACTACACATATAATAATACACAAAAAAAAAAATCATACACAAAAATATCATATTAATAAAGGTATCATACGAAAAAACTACACAATTAGAAGTAATAGGAGAGAGAGAGAGCACAAAAATATCAAATCAGTGATGAATCAAAATTTTAATAATTCGAAGTGTTCCATAATGTTTCAAAATATTGTTATATTTCAATGCATTTACACAATTATTCTGATTGTCATGAAAGTGGCCGGTGGTAGAGGGCATATGTCTCAAGGGCACACCAGAACTCAGACCAATTCAAACAACAAAAATCTTAGTCTGATTGTCAGGCCGACAAAACATCCGCAACAAAGTTGGAGGAAAAATCTGTAGCAGCCTTTNAACTCAGACCAATTCAAACAACAAAAATCTTAGTCTGATTGTCAGGCCGACAAAACATCCGCAACAAAGTTGGAGGAAAAATCTGTAGCAGCCTTTCTCCCACAAGGGAAAGCCCCTGAACCTCCCATATCACAGCACAGCCACCCCCTAGGAAGCAAGTAAGAAAGCTACTAGTTTAGTTACTCATTGTTGCTGGGACGTCGATATGGCATAAATCTGTGGTCCTTTGCAGCATTCTTCCTTCTCTTTTTCTCGATAAAGGATTCGAGCTTTCCAGATGTCTGATAAATCACATAAAGGTCATCACTGAGTACAGAAATTACATACCATTGTATTCGAACAGATCAAATCATACATACTTTGAGTTCGGTATATTTCTCAGTAAGCTTTTGCTTCTGGATTTCAGCTGCAAAAAAAAAAAAGAAGACCATTTAGTCCATGAACAATTTGTAGTTTCACTTGTATATGAAACATCATTACAAAGTGTTTCATGACCAACCCATTAAATAGTATTTGGAAACCCAACAAGTTNAAAAAAAAAAAAAAAAAAAGAAGACCATTTAGTCCATGAACAATTTGTAGTTTCACTTGTATATGAAACATCATTACAAAGTGTTTCATGACCAACCCATTAAATAGTATTTGGAAACCCAACAAGTTAAGATACTTGGAACACAAGAAAGGTGAATACCAAAAAAATGCCTCTCAAGGAAAGCAAAATAAAGTACTGCTACCATAAATAGTCATTTTTCTTTTACCATAATGTGTTTATTACCATAATGATTATCATCTGCAGTCCTATATCTATCCCTATCCCTTATTTCCCAATAATATATCCCTTTCAGGCAGTAGTTTACTTCTGAAGTAAATGGGTCAGTTCAGGCCTCTCCAATTGCTGACTATTTGATTGCTAGATAACTTTTGTAAGTTGTAACTTTTAAACTGATAACCGCACTGCAAATCTCGACTGCACATAATAACCAACAAACAAACTGGGTGCATTGTGCCTCAAGACTCAAAACGTGCAAATGCTAAACCGACCCGAATGATTAAAACATACAAGACTTCAAAATTAATCGACTTGCTTTGTTTGTTGATCTGTTTTGTGCAAGAATTGGATTATAAGATTTAAGAACAATGTTTCTGAATTGTGAGAAACTGCATTGGAATCCATGATTAATGGTGTTGAAGACTTCCTACGTTCACTGTCTGTGACGAAAAGAAGCAATGAAACATTTGAGCAAGACCAAAGTGTGCAAGACCAAAAGAGCAGGAAATTTAGATTGTTTGTAACTCAATTATATATGAATTTGATTGATGCCCACGATAGCTTTGTAAGACATGTAAACAGCTGTAAGAATAAGTTGTTACTCAGTTGTTTTAAATTAAAGACATGTAGTTGGGTTCAAATTTTTAACTTTCTTTCAATAGAATGAACCAAGTAACTACAGAGATCATAGGCAACAAGATAGGTTGTTTCTTGGAAGCTGACCTGAGGAGTGGGGGAGATGCTTGAGAATTCAGGTGAATATTAATGAACTGATTCCACCTACGCATGCAAATAGCAAGAGCTTCACTTCCATAGTCATTTTATCAAACGGTTGGTGGACATTCTATCAAACTGCCCAAAATAAAACTCATATAACTATTCAAACCGCAACAGTTATCTTCACTCACGAATATTTAAAAAATAATTATAAGACACACGTTACCTCTGCATTGCTTCCAACATTAGTACAATCGAAAAATAAAAAAACAACCGAATATTTTACCAGAAGAATTGCTATTTTCTCAAATAAATAAACAAATCATTTATCCCATATTTTCTCAGCAAGCAAACACAGCCCCCAACATTAACACATCAATCATTGAAACAAAGCACACAGTTCACCCCTGAATTAAAATCAAACTTGGAATAACGTATTCAAATTAGCAAGAGTACTCATACAATAATCAAATAACAGAAGGGAGTACTAATCAGAACCACCAATCACATATTCATATAATGAACATAAGACATAAGCAATGAATACATTAAACTAGGGTTCTAAGGTAGCTTGACATTATTACACACCTTGAAAGCCCTAAAACGTGAAGCTACGATTCTGTACATGACGATGATAATCGATCACTGTAGGAATATATTGCCGGCGTCGACGTCGATGTTGAGAGAGAAACGACTACATGAAGGGCTTTGGCCTCGGGTGCGGAGAGGTATCTCGGGGGAGTGAGAGGAAAAAATAAATCGAAAAATGAAAATCGATTTTTAAAAGTAAAAGTTAATTATTTTTTTTTATTAACTTATTTAAGTGTTCAAATTATTTTTACTTATTAAAAACTATTTTTAATAAGTTAATTCGAACATTATTTTTTTAAAAAAAATATTTTTTATAAGGTAAAAGTCTCAAAAACATTTTTTTTGGGTTAATTTTATTTTGTACCTCAGAAGATTGTTCGAATCTCAATTTGTACCCTCAAAGATCAAAAATCTCAATTTACATCCTCAAAGATAGAAATTTGTATCAATATGCACCCCCAAAGATCAAAAATCTCAATTTATACCCTCAAAGATAGAAATTTATATCAATGTGCACCCCAAAGATAAAAAATCTCAATTTACACCCTCAAAGATAGAAATTTGTATCAATGTGCACCTAAAACTAAATTGATAAATTATACCTAGATCCCCTCATACTTGTCACTTAATCATTTAGACCTCTTCACATTTAGAATACTACTCCTACATCTTATGACATTTGTGCACGTATAACACGTAACCCATTTTCATTGATATCTATTAATATAACCGTTAAAAAATATAATTTTATCCTAATAAAAAATTATAATTTCATATTACAATTTATTTTATGGGTTCAATATATTCTAAAGTTCAAAATCTAGTTTACCATTTGAATGTCGAATAAAATATAAATATTAATATAATATTTTTCATATTACCTTTGTTATAAATATCTACATTTTATTAGACATTCAAATGGTAAGCTTGATTTGCAACTTTAGAGTATATCGAATCCACAAAATAAAAGGTAATATGAAATTATAATTTTTTATTAGGATAAAATCATATTTTTTAACGATTATATTAACAGATATCAACGAAAAGTGGTTATGTGTTACACATGCACAAACGTCGTGAGATGTAAGGGGAATATTCTAAATGTGAAGGAGTTCAAATGATTAAGTGACAAATATGAGTGGATCTAAGTATAATTTATCAATTTAATTTTAGGTGCACATTGATACAAATTTGTATTTTTGAGGGTGCAAATTGAGATTTTTTATCTTTGGGGATGCACATTGATACAAATTTCTATCTTTAAGGGTATAAATTGAGATTTTTTATCTTTGAGGGTACAAATTGAGATTTAAACAATCTTTTAGGGTACAAAATGAGATTAACCCTTTTTTTTTTTTTTAAGTAAAACGACAGAAATCGGATTCAGAGAGGGGGCGAGATCGAGAGGAAGAAGAGAGAGAAACATGGCGGACGAAGAAAATGGGGAGTTTTACCTTCGGTACTACGTGGGGCACAAGGGAAAGTTCGGGCACGAGTTCTTGGAGTTCGAGTTTAGGCCAGATGGGAAGCTCAGGTACGCCAATAACTCCAACTACAAGAACGACACCATGATCCGCAAAGAGGTCTTCCTCACCCCCGCCGTCCTCAAAGAGTGCCGCCGCATCGTCGCCGACAGCGAGGTGGGTCTTTCTTCTTCTTCTTCTTCTTCTTCTTCATATAATCAACGCCTTATTTATTTTTCTATTTATTGCTTGTTTATTTGTTTGATTATTGAGAANCGGACGAAGAAAATGGGGAGTTTTACCTTCGGTACTACGTGGGGCACAAGGGAAAGTTCGGGCACGAGTTCTTGGAGTTCGAGTTTAGGCCAGATGGGAAGCTCAGGTACGCCAATAACTCCAACTACAAGAACGACACCATGATCCGCAAAGAGGTCTTCCTCACCCCCGCCGTCCTCAAAGAGTGCCGCCGCATCGTCGCCGACAGCGAGGTGGGTCTTTCTTCTTCTTCTTCTTCATATAATCAACGCCTTATTTATTTTTCTATTTATTGCTTGTTTATTTGTTTGATTAGTGAGCAAGATGTTGGAATTAGAAAAGCAAATACGTGGGTTTTGATTTGAATATGTGGAGTTAAGTTTGCTTCTTTGATTTGATAGTTAGGGTTTAGGGCTTTAGGGTATTGTTCAAGTTCATCCCCTTTTTTCCGGGTTATTTTCTCAGTTAATCTGTTTGGTTCCCTTGAAAACTGAGGAATATTAGAGGAAGTGGATTTTTAAATCCTCTGCTGCCACTTGAATTGTGGAAAATGACAAATACAAAGACACAAACCAATATTCTATCACTGGCTTAAGGAGCCCGGCTTGTTTGATTGTGTTGCCTCTCTCACTGCTATTCTCGTATTACTTGGATTCTTTCTATTTCTGAAGTACCAATTGTTAAGACATGGAAGGTGCGGAACCACATATTGGATTAGCAGAGCCTGTTAGCAATCAATAGGATGGTTAAGTCTTTATCCTAACATTGTGTATTAGGCTCCTTGCAAGATATCTGCTGTATTGTTTTGTTTCTTTCTAAGAAAATTGTCCTGCATTGGATATGGGAGATTATGACTAAATACTCTTTACCCACATTTTCTTCACTGCCAAAGAGGGAACTAGGATGTCTAGGTTATATTTCTGTTTTGTTTTGGGGGCCTTACGGTATTAGAGAGCAATGGAGGGTTTTCAATGTTCACATTGTTTATTGTTTACCATTTGTTTGTATTTGCATGGCCTGGTTGAATTTTGGGCTTTTATTTTGCAGATAATGAAGGAAGATGATAACAACTGGCCCGAGCCTGACCGCGTGGGCCGGCAAGAGCTTGAAATTGTGATGGGGAACGAGCACATATCATTTACTACTTCTAAGATCGGGTCACTCATGGACGTCCAATCCAGCAAAGATCCTGAAGGCCTTCGTATCTTTTATTATCTTGTTCAGGTAACCACTCAGCAAGTTCACGCAGGCCCCTAGTCACCACATTCACACATGCGTGCATGGACATTGTTATGCTCTTTGTCAGTTCTATGTGGCCCTATGCTTTTCTTTGAGATTCTGGCTGGATGGTTAGTCATATGCATGGTCATAATCCTGTCATGTAAACTTGGTTGCTCTGACATGATATGATTATTGGGACTTGATACTGTATTCATGCAAGAATTGAGGGATTTCACAGGATTAAAGTAAGTTTATTAGCAATTGATGATGCCCAAAAAAGAATGAAAATGCAACAAAAATTCTAGTGGAAGAAAATTAAAATTCCATATCTACCTCCCTGCCATTTGATTAACTTATCTTGTAAACATGAGGTTAGGAATTATGTATTGTCTATGCTATGAAAAATTCAAGTTAATTGTTTAGATGTTGAATCAGGTCTTCAAACAAGAACTAGGGCCCTCGGTTGACCAAACGTTGGTTAGACGTGAGGTCGAACATGTCCCGCTTCTCCCTATGGCCTTAATCTTAGTGTCCATATATTGTCGTGGGAAAAAGGCGCTCCCTGAGCGCTCACAGTCTTCTTACTGTATGGATACCAGGAGGACTCGAGGGGCCTGTCAGCGCCAGAGCCATATTTGATCAAATTGGGGATAATATGAATGAATAAGTTCAACTATTACGTATGAGAGTCTAGGGCTTCTACCATGATTTGTGGTGTTAGGATGTTGCTTGGAAGTCTCATAAAAGGAGGATATTGCTGCGAAAGATGTGTTTTAGATTTATTTTTGTATGGATTGAAGAAAGAGGCAGACTATTCGAGTTTTGCTGGCTGTAGCGTTTGATGGACCCTTCTTGGACTATTCAAGTTGTCTTTGAGTTTGGGACTTGCAAGAGAAAGAAAAGTGGAATTTCAGTTTGTGTAATCTCTCATCATTGGCTATATGATCTTCCTCCACAAGCTCATTCAATGTATAATAGCACACGTTAGCTGGCTTTTGTTGTGTGGGTGTCACTATTGTGTCCATATCACCATTAATAATTTGTCCAAGGGAAATAATTTTTGTATGTCTCAGGACATCAAAAGGACTCTAAGCACTACCATGTGGCTAGGGATGTTTCCTGGCCTTTGTTGCTCCTCTTTGGGGGTGGGTTTGGTCTTGCCAAGGTCACTTCAATAGGCCCTGAATTTCTGGCGAGGGAATTGCTTGAAGAGGATTAAGGAGGTTTTGTTAGCCAGCTCTGTTGTATGCTTTTGGTAGGTGTGGAAAGAGCAGGTAGACATGTAAGTACCAGAGCATCCGCTCAATATGTCAGGGTGTAAATGCTTGAAGTACTTTTTTCATCATTTAAATAATGTACCTAACACCAGGTTTTTTATTGCTAATTGAGGCTTTTTAGTATGAAATCTAATCCATTATCATGAAGGAAAGATTTCATCAGGTTTCTGAAGCTCTGAGGTGAAGATAGGGAAGTAACTAAATAGACGTACCAAAGGAGTCGGTGCTTCTAATTTGCCTAATTAAATTTTTTTCCCTTTTTTCCTTTTTCTTTTTTGGATACAATGTCTCAGATTCCTAGTCCCTCAAAAATTATGTCTTTTCTTTGAAAAGAAAAATTCATAATCCAAAATATTGAACAAGAAATACTTACTCCGCTTGACTCAAAAAAATTTCAGCGAAGTTCATAATTTTTTTCACAAGTTCTCTATGTCAATGAGACATGGATTCATATTTGATACTTATATATATTTTGTCCTTGTGCTATATTTTGTTTTCTAAGTATCAATTTTGTGTTGCGTTAGAACATCCAACCCAAAACTAATTGGGAAATGGTGTATGATCTAACATTGTATTAGAGCTGGACCTTGGGTAGTTGGTGGGCTAAGTTTCTCACCCTGCTCAATCAGTTTATCTGTCTATTTTGTTTCAGCTTCAGTCTATTTGTTTGCATGTTTGGCTTGTTTACCCGCGTGTTAGTCCGGGTTGAACGTGAGGGAGAGTGTGAAGATTGTTATCCCACAAAAAAAATTAAATGGTCCTATGGTTGATTTATATACTTGAGGTGTCACTCCACCCATGGCTTGGGGTAGATATTCTAACAGTATTCTGGCTTAAAGTTCCATTGAATACAGGGCAATGCTCTTCTTCATGATGGTATCACGATTTATTGTTCCTGACTACCAAGTTTATCTACTCCTGTTGGTTGGTCGAGAAGAATTATCTTTAAAAATCCCAATTTATCACTGCTTTTAGTCCCAAGACTTCCTATAGCTTTATTTTGTGGCTTGTTTTCACAAGCAATGAGCCAGTACTAGTAACGTTTCTGAGCTATTGCTGCTATGTGGTACTGTCCTATAGAAGGTTCCTGGAGGTTGTGCCTGCAGCTTGAAAGGGTGGGGACACCCTCCCCCCACAAAACGAGCTCAAGGTTGGCTGTGGTAGTACTCAAGCATGGCCAACTTAACACTGATGTCTTCATGCACACCCATTGTTGGAAAGGTCTCTGGATAAGGAGTTGGTCTCCCCACTCCCTTGTAGCTGGTGAAGTGCATGGATGCCCACACCGTTCATTTAAGTGTGTCACCTTTATGTTACTAGTTAGACCCTAGCCATTGATCAGGGTGATAAACATGTTACTTGACATGCAAATGAAATCATTATGTTCCCTTTATACCGAATAAAAGGAAAAGAGAAGAAAAAGAAACCCTTATGTTCCATTCTTAACTGCTTGATTGAGCACTTTTATGTGTTTTTTAACATTACAATAACTGTTTTTTGATCAGCAATGAAATTTTGTTTCAGTTTACATATATTCCATTTCTAACAAAGTATGTCTCCTTTTTATGGTTGCAGGATTTGAAGTGTTTTGTGTTCTCTCTCATCTCTCTCCATTTCAAGATCAAACCCATATAAGGGAGTGTTCATGGTAGTGCTACCATTTGGAAAGGCTATGGGTTTGACAGTTTTTGCTAAGTACTACTTGCATTTTTATGTTTTTTCCTAGTTGATGGTCCTAGGAATTATATGTGGTTGGAATTAGATTCTTCAAAAGTTCATTTCTTCTACAAGCTTCTGAGTTTGTAATCAAAGATACTTATGCTTCTACTTCTTCAACTTGGTCATTGTTGTGTTATTTTCTTCACTTTCTTTTTCTGTTTTTCCAAAAAAATGTTTATTTACAACATTTGTACTGAGTTTGTTGTTATTATGAACCCATGTGTAGAATTTACCTTTGAAAATCGGTTTGCAAGAGAAAGGTGTTCAAAAGTTTATATATACACATTTAGTCTTATTTGTAACTTATGTGGGATCGTAACATTTGCCCTGCTATTACATCTGTCCAATTACTTATTTTGACACCGTTTTGACAATGGATCTTCAACTCAAATGTTGGCAGTGTCTAGGGGCTGTGTTGGTTATGTTCTGTAAAACAGTTTTTTGTTTTCAAAATTTTAAAAACACGTAAAATTTATTTGTTTAGTATTTTTTTTCTCAAATTTTTTGAAAAAAATGAGATTTGGAACAAAAAAATATAAAACAAGTCATACTTGTTTTCAAACTTTTCTTTAAAAACTATGGACACATGGAGAACACCTCTTTAATGAGGTCTGTCATTCAAGTCTTCTTAGCAGCAAGGTTTTCTCTGTTTTTTTTCCTTCCTCTCTGCCTTTCTCTACTTTGCTCATCAAACAGATGAAGACACACAACAAAGAACGAAGAAGATCAGAGAGGAAGCTTTCTCTCTTTGTTTCTCCACTTTGCCTCTCAGACAGAATGAGTAAAGAGGAAGGTTCAGATCTTCTCCGGCGACGACGAAGACAATCAAAGCTTCAAATTTTCAAATCTTCTCCAGCACTGACAAAGACGATCAAAGCTTCAAATCTTCAGACATAACAAGCAGTGGTTGTGGGTTTTGGATGGTTATGGATTTCAGTGGTGGCTGAGAGTTTTAGTGATAACTGTTGTTTCGGTGGATCTTGATGTATAGTAAAAGAGAAAGAGAGAGACAGAGAATTGAAGAAGGAGGGTCTTGGTTGCTTGTTTCGGTGGTTGTGGAAATTTTGATTATTACCCAAACAAATTTTGTAATTTTTGTTCTTTAAAATTATTTTTAAAAATATACAGCCAAACAGGTTTTACAATCTAAAAATTTTTAAAAAATAGTTTTTAAATACTATTTTTTTAGATATAAACTAAAGAGGTTTTTTGAATTTAGGTTACACAAGTAGAGTTGATATAATTCAGGCTGCACCACACCAACCTCTTTGGCGGTGCCACTACCATCTCTAAAGTTGATAATTTTTGGCATGTATATAAAAGTAACAGACGAAAATTTATCATTTTTTAATTCAAATTTAAAAATAACACAAATTTTTAATCTAAATAAATATAATTTAATTTACGCCCAACAAAAAATCAAATTTATAAGAAATGACCACGACACAATTATCAGTCCAACGGTCCCTCCACTCCCAATCCA